CGCGGGGGCCGGCGGTGGCTGCCGTTCCGACCCCGTAAGCCGCGGTCTGGCCTTAAACCTCTGCTAACGGTGACAGAACCTGCCCTTGCACTGGAGCGTTGCCGTTCCCCAACGACTTGCAGGCAAAGGCCGGTGTTTTAAGGTCGGGCTGAGCTGCTAGGCTCTGCTCTCCGGGGGTCCGCGCGCCTGGTGCGCGGGTTCGGTGGGAAATTGGGGAGACGCCGCCAGAGCGGAGAGCATCCGTCCGCTCCTGCAGCGCAGACCTTGCAGCTGGGCACAGCTGTGACAGCTCGGCTGAAGGTTGCTGATCGCTTAAGCCACTGTAACCGAGTTATACGGTTACACGCCCGAGCTCCTTCCGCGGGACCCAAGTGAAATCTAAAGGACGCAGCTGCCAGACAACTCGCGTGCGGGTTACTCTGCTAGAATAATATTGATGTTAAGTGGTAAAACTTTCTCCCGGACATGAAGCCAATACCTTAGCAAGAACACGTGCGCAACAAACAACAACAGTAAAAACCTCCCACCCCAAAAAAAACATATATATATATATATATATATATATATATGAAAAACCTAGGAGTTCTTTGAATCCTGTTCCATCTTTGAAATGTTTTACTCCTTTCCTGTGTCATGCCATCTTTTCTTGGTACGGCCAGAAACTTAATAACTCAAATTCCAGATCATCTATATGATTTCCTACCTGACTCGTTACTTGACTGCTGGTGACCTGAAAAAGGGCCTGAATCTCACGTATGCAGTTGTTCATTCTCTGGGTAATTTAAACAGACTGGTTTTCTCCAGTTAATGTTAAGGTTTCAAAATCAGAAAAAAAGTCTTCGCCTCTGTGTCATAATGACAAAACACTTGCCAGCTGCAACTGCTCCAAGAATTTATCCTAATTCCTATGGCAATGTTATTCTGGTACTGCTTCTGCCTCCCCCCCTCCTTAGTTGCATTTCTACCATCAAAAACTCAAGGTGTATTCACACCTCACTGTACTTTAAACACCTTTCCAAAGCTGGCCTTCATTCCCATGTTTCTCTTCCCCTTAACTGCTCTTGCTGGTTACAGTTCAACTTTGCCTGGCAAGAAGGCGCAAATGTTTTGTGCTGATCCTCTGCCTAGAGTGAATTTAGCTCTATCTCCATCTTTATTTCTTCTCTTCTCCCCGTGTCTCCCTTGATTATACCTTTTCATAACCTCTGGCCTGCATTACTCAGGAGGTCAGCTTATCACATCAGTCCCTCCTGGCCTTAAAATCTGTGACTCTTGTGTGGTATTGTCTGCCTCCCAGCTGCTTATCTTCCTTCTCACTCTCACTCTTTTGTTTTGTACCTCGCATTCTTCCTCACTGGTATTAATCTCCCCAGTGATTTTTTTTAACTCCATCTCAGCAACAAATAAATAAATCAGTCTCTGGAAATATGAATCTGAATTCATGGCTTTTGTTCACTGTATCATCTCTTTCTCCTCTTACTCCCCATCTGAATATTAACAGCAGGCAGAATGCCAGGGGGTTTGTAGTCTTTGCATTATGTCCTTTTCACTTCAGCCTGTGCCACACAAAATATGTGCTAACTTACAGCTTAGGAGTGGAGAAGGGGTTTACTAAATGAAAGAACTGAATCATGAAAGGAGCAGGAAGGGCTGGGAGGACTAACCATTGCTGTTTGCCACTTGTGAGCAGAAGCTTTATTACTCTGCTGTAGTTAGGATCACTAATAGCTGCCTATCTTTGACCTGTGATAACAGCTTGTATTTTTATGCAAAAGTACACTTAGAAAGCAAAAATTTAAACAGAGGCAACAAAACACCCTATTCATGACAGTATAACTTTTTGCCATCTCTTAGTGGACCTTTAAGAAAAAGATTCCAGTAGGGAGAATAGGGAAAATTCAGAGTTGTAAGAACATTTGGGATGCAGAATGCTACATTTGTTAGTCATATTAAAACGTATGTTGTCAAGCTAACACCTTTCTCAAAATGCTTATATACAATGTAAATATTAAGAAAAAAGAACCTTGGTAGCTTACTTTTACATATAGTGTCAGTAAGAAACAGTGATTTTCATGCAGTATTTTGCATTTTTACCTCTTTGCCCAGCTTGAATCAATCAGATTTTTTTTTGTCACTGTATGTTAGGATTGCCTTAGGTCATATAACCATGTTAATATAATGGACTAAAAGTATTACTGTCAAATCCTCCCAGTTTTTACACATTAATTTTATTAGACAGCTTGTAACAAAGAAAAGATGTCAAACAAACGTGTAAGTAATTCAATAGTCATTTTAACAGTCAAAAGTCTTTCACTTTTCAGTGAAAGTGGAAGTGTAGTATTTGAATGAACATTTCCTTTAAACCAATATACCATCAGGTTTGTTTTGCTGCTGCAGCTGTGAGGCCGCTCCATTTTCTTTCTGTGTGGCAAGTGACCTTTACAAAATACCTGTCACTCAGTAGCCTGTAACTTTTTTGACTTCCAGGCAGTTTGCATTTCTTTAGCCTTACAGCCCATCAGGCTATGATTGCTCATGCATCCTAAGGCGCAGTATTAGCTCTCTGCACATCAGACCCCTCTCTCTTCCCTAAACCACCTTCTGTTTAAGACACTAATCAAATCTACACAGAACAGCTCTTCACACTCCAAATAGCTACCTGAGGTGGTTATGTATTGACAGGAGATATTTTTCTCATCCCATTCACTGGAGTTAGGAGTAGCAGGTGCTATTATTTCATCTCTTCTTATAATCCAGAGAACCAAAGAGCAAGAATGCCATTTGAATGCAGATAACTCTCATGACAGTCAAATGTGTTACAAATATGCTACTGAGGCAGATTCACACATTATAAAACTAAAACAAACAGAAATCCTCCAGAGACCGGGGTCAATATCTAAGGTGTTGTCAGATGGAAAAATTCATGTTCCACAAACAGGCTAACTGCATTTCCTGCCATATGCCAGCACATTATTTGCTTATCAGAAAGACTTGGCTGGAACATGAATGGAATTCCCCTGAGCACTTCCAATGGCTAATATTCTTCTTTTAACCTCTCCCAGCACCTGGCTGCTTCTCAAATGTTTGTATATATCCATGCCACATAAAGCAAAGCTGCTGGTGATTTTCAAAGCTGCTCACCTTGATTTTTTGCCTAATCTAACAGCTTATGTTATTACACAAACAGTTGCAGCCATTTCTGATAGCACATGCTCAGGTAGAATGATTCCAGGTTTAGCTGTAGGAAGTGACTATTGGTGTTGATACCTGTTTGGTTCTATGCAGCCCCACCAAGCATGGGCAGCCACTGAAATCAGTGGAATTTCATGCAAAGTTATCGATCTGGAACAGATTTCACAATAAGCACCAGTGTGTAACAGTCCTCGTCTACTTCCCCATTTTTTAATCTTACAGCACAAAATTCAGTATTGACAGTTATCCTCACCTGCTACAAAGCACTCCCCTGTTCCTCATTTACCAAAACAATCTTTCAGTCCATTCCAAGTGCTGGGCAAATGATTTATCAAAATGACAGTAACAAAGCACTTTTAGTTCTAAAAGCTCAAATGTTTACTTTTAAGTGGTGACAAAGAAGAAAATGTTAGCACGCAGGAAGTCTTTAGAATCCAAAATCTTCACATTCTTTGTAGAATCTCCAGTACTTTTCCATTACAGGCCATGGTAGAAACTCCTCTTTACATACCATTACTATCTCACGGAATTGAAGAAAACGTGTCAGACTTTCCACTGAGTTGAACTGGACAGAAGAGCCTGTTGAAAATGAATGCAAACGATAACAGGGTGTGTATTAGAATAATGGAAAGCCATCACTGGCACTATTATCTAGAGAGGTGTTAACATCTCGTTAGAACCATGTAAACATTAGCGATCCCTGGGAATCTGTAAGGTGTCCTAGGAATCTTGTAGTCTAAGACCCCGGCCATCTTACTGGTATCTCTGACTTGCACCCAGAGTTCAGTGAGACAACGCTACACTTCATGGTGATCAGACTGAGAAGTCAGCCA